GCTCAGCCTGAACCAGTGCCGGTAAACTAACCCACTGTAGGTCAGGAGCGGTTTCGACATTGAGCGTCTCATCAGCAGAGTCGAGCTTGAAGAATCAGTGCCGGTAAACTAACCCACTGTAGGTCAGGAGCGGTTTCGACATTGAGTGTCTCATCAGCAGAGTCGGGATTCTGAACTGGTGCCGGTAAACTAACCCACTGTAGGCAAGGAGCGGTTTCGACATTGAACGTCTCATCAGCAGAGTCGGGATTCTGAACCAGTGCCGGTAAACTAACCCCCTGTGGGTAAGGAGCGGTTTCGACATTGAGTGTCTCATCAGCAGAGTCGGGATTCTGAACCGGTGCCGGTAAACTAACCCACTGTAGGCAAGGAGCGGTTTCGACATTGAACGTCTCATCAGCAGAGTCGGGATTCTGAACCAGTGCCGGTAAACTAACCCCCTGTGGGTTAGGAGTGGTTTCGACATTGAGTGTCTCATCAGCAGAGTCGGGATTCTGAACCGGTGCCGGTAAACTAACCCACTGTAGGTACGGAGCGGTTTCGACATTGAGTGTCTCATCAGCAGAGTCGGGCTCAGCTTGAACCGTTGCCGGTAAACTAACCCACTGTAGGTAAGGAGCGGTTTCGACATTGAGTGTCTCATCAGCAGAGTCGGGCTTGAAGAATCAGTGCCGGTAAACTAACCCACTGTAGGTCAGGAGCGGTTTCGACATTGAGCGTCTCATCAGCAGAGTCGGGATTCTGAACCAGTGCCGGTAAACTAACCGACTGTAGGTCAGGAGCGGTTTCGACATTGAGTGTCTCATCAGCAGAGTCGGGATTCTGTACCAGTGCTGGTAAACTAACCCACTGTAGGTCAGGAGCGGTTTCGACATTGAGTGTCTCATCAGCAGAGTCGGGCTCAGCTTGAACCGTTGCCGGTAAACTAACCCACTATAGATAATGAGCGGTTTCGACATTGAGCGTCTCATCAGCAGAGTCGAGCTTGAGGAATCAGTGCCGGTAAACTAACCCACTGTAGGTCAGGAGCGGTTTCGACATTGAGTGTCTCATCAGCAGAGTCGAGCTTGAAGAATCAGTGCCGGTAAACTAACCCACTGTAAGTCAGGAGCGGTTTCGACATTGAGTGTCTCATCAGCATTGTCGGGCTAAGCCTGAACCAGTGGCGGTAAACTAACCCACTGTAGGCAAGGAGCGGTTTCGACATTGAGTGTCTCATCAGCAGAGTCGGGATTCTGAACCAGTGCCGGCAAACTAACCCACTGTAGGCAAGGAGCGGTTTCGACATTGAGCGTCTCATCAGCAAAGCAAATCACGAGGCCGATGTCAGCAGATGCAGCGTTTATTTCGCGATACGCGGCTCTACATTTTAATCCGCAGGAGCATTAAAAAATCTTGAATCGAACCACTGCCACCACCACCACCATCGTCTTCGTCGGCGGCGGCGTCGCACTTGCAGGGTGTGTGGATTCACAAGGCCGTTGTGACGTTTGCTTCATTTAATTCTTCACATCCGTAACTCCGGGAGGGATGCCGTTCGTCCGTACGCTCCGTCCGGCTGTAACGCGACCAGATACGAGTGGAACTTTCGTACAGAGCCGCGATGCTCATTAAGGACTCGGGTGGGGGAGGGGAAATGTGGCCACACGCGTTAGCTCTGCCCCGTCCGCTCGGCCTCCCGGCACGGTGGCTGGGAGATGTTAACTACCTCGCCGGATGTGCAGGTGATCGTGGGTTCGATCCAGATCCCTGAGGCCTTTGCTGTTGCTGCTGCTGCTGTTGTATATTTGGAGTTTGGGTCTTTCTCTGTCTCTGTCTCTCTCTCTCTCTCTGTCTCCGCGTGGATTTTTCTCCGGTGCCCTCCGATTTTTTTCCCCCCCTCCAGCAATTTGAAACAACGCGCTTCGAGCGTTTGTCCGCTGCTCTCAATGTCCACGTGATGACGGCGACCACGATGATGTCAGCCACCTGCTGGGGCTGCTATCAAGTTGTGATGAAGACGCGACTAAGAAACTCAGTTGGGACCTGACAGCTGGTAACATATTCTTGGTTCTTTCGGTAAAGTCACGTAGAAGGGAAACATTAAATTATATATATATTTTATTTTATTGTTTCCCTTCTACGTGACTTTACCGAAAGAACCAAGAATATGAATCCCTGCAGTCACGAAAGCTTTAAATCAAAACATGAACACAGTTTACTTTTAGTGTGGGTCTCTATGAGTCTCTGTGGGTCTCTATGAGTGGGGGTCTCTATGAGTGTGGGTCTCTGTGGGTCTCTATGAATATGGGTCTCTGTGGGTCTATATGGATCTCTGTGGGTCTCTATGGGTCTCTGTTGCTCTCTATGCGTCTCTGTATATATGTGGGTCTCTATGGGTCTCTGTATATCTGTGAGTCTATATGGGTCTCTGTGAGTCTATATGAATCTCTGTGGGTCTCTATGAGTCTCTGTTGCTCTCTATGAGTCTCTATGGGTCTCTGTATATCTGTGAGTCTATATGGGTCTCTGTGAGTCTATATGGGTCTCTGTGGGTCTACGGATCTCTGTGGGTCTATATGGATCTCTGTGGGTCTCTATGAATCTCTGTGGGTCTCTATGGGTCTCTGTATATATGTGGGTCTCTATGGGTCTCTGTATATATGTGGGTCTCTATGGGTCTCTGTATATATGTGGGTCTCTGTGGGCCTCTGTGGGCCTCTGTGAGTCTATATGGGTCTCTGTGGGTCTACGGATCTCTGTGGATCTATATGGATCTCTGTGGGTCTCTGTGAGTCTATATGGGTCTCTGTGTTAGCCTACGGACTCTGTGGGTCTATATGGATTTCTCTGGGTCTATATGGGTCTCTGTGGGTCTACGGATCTCTGTGAGTCTATATGGATCGCTGTGGGTCTCTATGAGTCTCTGTTGCTCTCTATGAGTCTTTGTATATCTGTGGGTCTCTATGGGCCTCTGGATATCTGCGGGTCTCTATGGGCCTCTGTGAGTCTCTATGGGTCTCTGTGGGTCTACGGATCTCTGTGGGTCTCTATGGGCCTCTGTGGGTCTCTATGGGTCTCTGTTGCTCTCTATGAGTCTCTGTATATATGTGGGTCTCTATGGGTCTCTGTGAGTATGGGTCTCTGTGAGTCTATGGATCTCTGTGGGTCTCTATGGGCCTCTGTGAGTCTATATGAATCTCTGTGGGTCTCTATGAGTCTCTGTTGCTCTCTATGGGTCTCTGTATATCTGTGGGTCTCTGTGGGCCTCTGTGAGTCTATATGGGTCTCTATGTCAGTCTACGGACTCTGTGGGTCTATATGGGTCTCTGTGGGTCTCTATGAGTCTCTGTTGCTCTCTATGAGTCTCTGTATATCTGTGGTTCTCTATGGGTCTCTGGATATCTGCGGGTCTCTATGGGCCTCTGTGAGTCTATATGGGTCTCTGTGGGTCTACGGATCACTGTGGGTCTCTATGGATCTCTGTGGGTCTATATGGATCTCTGTGGGTCTCTGTGAGTCTATATGGGTCTCTGTGTTAGTCTACGGACTCTGTGGGTCTATATGGATTTCTCTGGGTCTCTATGGGCCTCTGTGAGTCTATATGGATCTCTGTGAGTCTCTATGAGTCTCTGTGAGTCTATATGGGTCTCTGTGAGTCTACAGATCTCTGTGGGTCTCTATGGGCCTCTGTGAGTCTATATGGATCTCTGTGGGTCTCTATGAGTCTCTGTGAGTCTGTAGAAACACAGCGTTGAGAGTATTTGGCTGCTTCTATGAATGTCCACGTGATCACGATGATATCTGCCCCGAGGTTGAGCTGCTATCGTGTTGTGATCGGAGCCAGGTGGCTCGTCTTACCACACAGCTACGCAGCTCGATGGGTACCTTACACTTGGTCAAATCAAATTAAAATGATCTCAATGCGCAGAATGAAAATCCACTCGGTGACCACCGCGGGGAATTAGAGACGCAAACCTCCAATTATACAGCAGCGGGATCGAACCCACGACCTCCTGTATACGAGGCGAGGTAGTTAACATCTCCACGGGCAGAGAGATGCAGACTGCAAATATACAGCAGCGGGATCGAACCCACGACCTCCTGTATACGAGGCGAGGTAGTTAACATCTCCTTAACTACCTCGCCACCTAAGGCCGTAGCCATGAAGTCAACATTGGTGGGGACCGAATCTTCCAGAGGGTCTGGGGGTCCCCCCCCCTCCACCCACCCAGAAAAAAATGTAAATTGGAAAACGAATTTCCTGCCATTTCCTTCCTAAAATATTTTTAAAAATTCACTAAAACATTGGATGGATTTAATTTTTTTTTTACAATAATGTCTAATAGTCTTCTTTGGTTCTTTCGGTAAAGTCACGTAGAATGAAAATAAAATAATAAATTGATAAAATAAAATAACACAATAAAATTCTCACGACGTTTCGGCCACAACACAAGCGGCCTTCATCAGGTGAAGGGACGAGACTCCAGCGCTGTCCTACCAGACAGTCTCGTCCCTTCACCTGATGAAGGCCGCTCGTGTTGTGGCCGAAACGTCGTGAGAATTTTTATTGTGTTATTTTATTTTATCAATTTATTATTTTATTCTCATTCCACGTGGTGGTGACTTTACCGAAAGAACCAAAGAAGATGAATCCTTGCAGTCACGAAAGCTTTAAATCGAAAAATGTCTAATAGTGTATTGTATCACACTGCTCTGCGTTTTATTTATTTATCTTACCTTTTCTTGTTTCATTGCATGTAATGGCAGAGATTAGGGATTAATAAAGTACAACCATGACCACAATCATATCAACAGAAATCTATTTTATAGCAATATATTGGGGGGGGGGGGAGGGGGAGGTACAGACACATTTTGAGCATATTTGAATTTTGTAGGGGGGCGATGTGTGTGTGTGTGTGTGTCCCTCCCCAAAATATATTATAATTACGGCCTTGGACTATCCATCACACCCGTCCCCCTGCTCGCTCAATTCTCCGTGAGCCCTGCCGCCCATTTGTTTAGAAGCACACCGCGCTGCCGATGAGAGTCATCGTCATGGCCACGACAATGGAAGCCACACTTCGCGGGGAGCCGGACACGTTACACAGGTCGCTGTTGCAGCAGGAGATCTTCGTGTTGGCCACGTACAGGTTGAAGTTCGCAGCCGTGCAGGTTGAGACGCACGACTTGGTGTAGGAGCTGCCTGTTCCTCGGGTCACGCAGGACGACGGCGATGGTGGTGGTGGTGGTGATGATGGTGGTGGTGATGGTGGTGGTGATGGTGATGATGGTGGTGGTGATGATGGTGGTGGTGGTGGTGATGGTGGTGGTGATGGTGGTGATGGTGGTGATGGTGGTGGTGGTGATGGTGGTGATGGTGGTGATGGTGGTGGTGGTGATGGTGGTGGTGATGGTGGTGGTGATGGTGGTGGTGATGGTGGTTGTGGTGGTGGTGATGGTGGTGGTGATGGTGGTGATGGTGGTGATGATGATGGTGGTGATGGTGGTGGTGATGGTGGTGATGGTGGTGATGGTGATGGTGGTGGTGATGGTGATGGTGGTGGTGATGGTGGTGGTGATGGTGGTGATGGTGGTGATGGTGGTGATGATGATGGTGGTGATGGTGGTGATGGTGGTGGTGATGGTGGTGATGGTGGTGATGGTGATGGTGGTGATGGTGGTGGTGATGGTGGTGGTGATGGTGGCGGTGGTGATGGTGGTGATGGTGGTGATGATGGTGGTGGTGATGATGCCGGTGATGATGGCGGTGATGATGATGGTGATGGTGGTGGTGATGGTGGTGATGGTAGTGGTGGTGATGATGATGGTGGTGATGGTGGTGATAATGGTGATGATGGTGATGATGGCGGTGATGATGGCGGTGATGATGATGGTGGCAGTGATGGTGATGATGGTGATGGTGATGATGGCGGTGATGATGATGGTGATGATGGTGATGATGGTGATGATGTTGATGATGATGGGTGGATGGGGGTGGGGGAGGAGGCAATGGGTGGGATGGGAAGGGGAGTGGGAGATCACAGTGACGCGAATTCCAGAATCAAAATCATCATTTATCTTGGTGGAGGAATCCGATTAGCTATTGAGGTCGTTTGCACACGTGTCCAGTACAGTTAGGTCGTCGGAATGGAAAATGTGAATGTGGGTGGGTGAGTGAGTGAATGAGTAAGTGAATGAGTGGATGCGTGAGTGAATGGGTAAGTGAATGAGTGGGTGAGTGAGTGAATGAGTATGTGAATGTGGGTGGGTGAGTGAGTGAATGAGTGGGTGGGTGAGTGAATGGGAAAGTGAATGAGTGGGTGAGTGAATGAGTGAGTGAATTAGTGGATGAGTGAGCGAATGAGTAAGGGAATGAGTGGGTGAGTGAGTGAATGGGTAAGTGATGAGTGGGTGCGTGAATGAGTAAGTGAATTAGTGGATGAGTGAGTGAATGAGTAAGTGAATGAGTGGGTGAGTGAGTGAATGAGTAAGTGAATGAGTAGGTGAGTGAATGAGTGGGTGAATGCGTGGGTGAGTGAGGGAATGAGTAAGGGAATGAGTGGGTGAGTGAATGGGTAAGTGAATGAGTGGGTGAGTGAGTGAGTGAATGAGTATGTGAATGTGGGTGGGTGAGTGAGTGAGTGAATGAGTGGGTGGGTGAGTGAATGGGAAAGTGAATGAGTGGGTGAGTGAATGAGTGAGTGAATTAGTGGATGAGTGAGCGAATGAGTAAGGGAATGAGTGGGTGAGTGAGTGAATGGGTAAGTGATGAGTGGGTGAGTGAATGAGTAAGTGAATTAGTGGATGAGTGAGTGAATGAGTAAGGGAATGAGTGGGTGAGTGAGTGAATGAGTAAGTGAATGAGTGGGTGGGTGAGTGAGTGAATGAGTGGGTGAGTGAGTGAATGAGTAAGGGAATGAGTGGGTGAGTGAGTGAATGAGTAAGTGAATGAGTGGGTTAGTGAGTGAATGAGTAAGTGAATGAGTGGGTGGGTGAGTGAATGAGTGGGTGAGTGAGTGAATGAGTAAGGGAATGAGTGGGTGAGTGAGTGAATGAGTAAGTGAATGAGTGGGTGAGTGAGTGAATGAGTAAGTGAATGAGTGGGTGGGTGAGTGAGTGAATGAGTGGGTGGGTGAGTGAATAAGTGAAATAGTGGGTGAGTGAGTGAATGAGTAAGTGAATGAGTAGGTGCGCGAGTGAATGAGGAAGTGAATGGGTGCTTGAGTGCAGAGTGTATGTTTTTATGTTGAATTTTTTTGCAAAACCGTACGTAGCCAACTGTTCTAATCGGAGGTGCGGGGTCTAGTCTAAGGTGCAGTGTTGAGTCTATAGGTGGCAGTGTTGAGTCTATGGGCATTGCTGAGTCTATGGGTGACAGTGCTGAGCCTATGGGTGGCAGTGTTGAGTCTATGGGTATTGCTGAGTCCATGGGTGACAGTGTTGAGTCTATGGGTGGCAGTGCTGAGTCTATGGGTGGCAGTGTTGAGTCTATGGGTGGCAGTGCTGAGTCTATGGGTGGCAGTGCTGAGTCTATAGGTGACAGTGCTGAGTCTATGGGTGGTAGTGTTGAGTCTATGGGTAACAGTGCTGAGTCTAAGGGTGGCAGTGTTGAGTCTATGGGCATTGCTGAGTCTATGGGTGACAGCGTTGAGTCTACGGGTGGCAGTGCTGAGTCTATGGGTGGCAGTGCGGAGTCTATGGGTGGCAGTGCTGAGTCTATGGGTGGCAGTGCTGAGTCTATAGGTGACAGTGCTGAGTCTATGATTGATAGTGCTGAGTCTATGGGTGACAGTGCTGAGTCAATGGGTGACAGTGTTGAGTCTATGGGTGACAGTGCTGAGTCTATGGGTGACAGTGCTGAGTCTATGGGTGACAGTGCTGAGTCAATGGGTGACAGTGTTGAGTCTATGGGTGACAGTGCTGAGTCTATGGGTGACAGTGCTGAGTCTACGGGTGACAGTGTTGAGTCAATGGGTGACAGTGCTGAGTCTATGGGGAGTGTTGAGTCGATGGGCATTGCTGAGTCTATGGGTGACAGTGCTGAGTCTACGGGTGACAGTTCTGAGTCTACGGGTGGCAGTGCTGAGTCTATGGGGAGTGTTGAGTCGATGGGCATTGCTGAGTCTACGTGTGGCAGTGTTGAGTCTATGGGTGGCAGTGTTGAGTCTACGGGTGACAGTGCTGAGTCTATGGGTGACAGTGCTGAGTCTATGGGTGACAGTGCTGAGTCTATGGGTGACAGTGCTGAGTCTACGGGTGACAGTGCTGAGTCTATGGGTGACAGTGTTGAGTCTATGGGTGACAGTGCTGAGTCTATGGGTGACAGTGTTGAGTCTATGGGTGACAGTGCTGAGTCTACGGGTGACAGTGCTGGGTCTATGGGGAGTGTTGAGTTGATGGGAATTGCTGAGTCTACGGGTGACAGTGTTGAGTCCATGGGGAGTGTTGAGTTGATGGGCATTGCTGAGTCTATGGGTGACAGTACTGAGTCTATGGGTGGCAGTGTTGAGTCTACGGGTGACAGTGCTGAGTCTACGGGTGACAGTGCTGAGTCTACGGGTGACAGTGCTGAGTCTACGGGTGACAGTGCTGAGTCTATTGGTGACAGTGCTGAGTATACGGGTGACAGTGCTGAGTCTATGGGTGACAGTGCTGAGTCTACGGGTGACAGTGCTGAGTCTACGGGTGACAGTGCTGAGTCTACGGGTGACAGTGTTCAGTCTATAGGTGACAGTGCTGAGTCTGTGCGTGGCAGTGCTGAGTCTATGGGTGACAGTGTTGAGTCTACGGGTGACAGTGTTGAGTCTATGGGTGACAGTGCTGAGTCGATGGGCATTGCTGGGTCTACGGGTGACAGTGTTGAGTCTATGGGTGACAGTGCTGAGTCTATGGGTGGCAGTGCTGAGTCTATGGGTGACAGTGCTGAGTCTATGGGTGACAGTGCTGAGTCTACGGGTGATAGTGCTGAGTCTACGGGTGACGATGCTGAGTCTACGGGTGACAGTGCTGAGTCTATGGGTGACGGTGCTGAGTCTATGGGTGACAGTGCTGAGTCTATGGGTGACGGTGCTGAGTCTATGGTTGACAGTGCTGAGTCAATGGGTGACAGTGCTGAGTCTATGGGTGACAGTGCTGAGTCTACGGGTGACAGTGCTGAGTCTATGGGTGACAGTGCTGAGTCTATGGGTGACAGTGTTGAGTCGATGGGCATTGCTGAGTCTATGGGTGACAGTGCTGAGTCTACGGGTGACAGTGCTGAGTCTATGGGTGACAGTGCTGAGTCTATGGGTGACAGTGTTGAGTCTACGGGTGACAGTGTTGAGTCTATGGGTGACAGTGCTGAGTCTATGGGTGACAGTGTTGAGTCTACGGGTGACAGTGCTGAGTCTATGGGTGACAGTGCTGAGTCTATGGGTGACAGTGCTGAGTCTATGGGTGACAGTGCTGAGTCTACGGGTGACAGTGCTGAGTCTACGGGTGACAGTGTTGAGTCTATGACAGTGCTGAGTCTACGGGTGACAGTGCTGAGTCTACGGGTGACGGTGTTGAGTCTACGGGTGACAGTGCTGAGTCTACAGGTGACAGTGCTGAGTCTACGGGTGACAGTGCTGAGTCTATGGGTGACAGTGCTGAGTCTACGGGTGACAGTGCTGAGTCTATGGGTGACAGTGCTGAGTCTATGACAGTGCTGAGTCTACGGGTGACGGTGCTGAGTCTACGGGTGACAGTGCTGAGTCTATGACAGTGCTGAGTCTATGACAGTGCTGAGTCTATGGGTGACAGTGCTGAGTCTATGGGTGACAGTGCTGAGTCTATGACAGTGCTGAGTCTATGACAGTGCTGAGTCTATGGGTGACAGTGCTGAGTCTATGGGTGACAGTGCTGAGTCTACGGGTGACAGTGCTGAGTCTATGGGTGACAGTGCTGAGTCTACGGGTGACAGTGCTGAGTCTATGACAGTGCTGAGTCTACGGGTGACGGTGCTGAGTCTACGGGTGACGGTGCTGAGTCTATGGGTGACAGTGCTGAGTCTATGGGTGACAGTGCTGAGTCTATGACAGTGCTGAGTCTATGGGTGACAGTGCTGAGTCTACGGGTGACGGTGCTGAGTCTATGGGTGACGGTGCTGAGTGTACGGGTGGCAGTGCTGAGTCTACGGGTGACAGTGCTGAGTCTATGGGGAGTGTTGAGTCGATGGGCATT